GAATGTTGTGTCCGGGCATTGGAATGCTCATGTCGACTCCGGTGGCCGTCTGCCAGCCATGGTTGGTTAGACATGGCGAGTTGAAGGACGGCGCGAGCGGCAAGAGATTGGCTCACCACGCCAGGGAAAACCTCGGCGAGAGCGGCGGCAGCAGCAGCCGCCTTGGGCGATCCACCGTCAGGCAGTCTTTGAACTTGAACAGCGGCTGGCGGACAGGGTTTGAGAACGACACTTTGCCATTGTCGACAAACGTGATGTGGCGAACGCCCCAAGCCTGTGCAGCCGCATTCCAGTTAGAACGGATCAAACCCCTCTGCTGGCATGAGTGGGGTTGATTACCAAGAGGACGCGTCCGACATAGCAGCCAAGCGTGCCGGCACCAAGGAGGAGACACTTGGTCTGCGATACACGCTCCAGTTTGAGCTCGGGTAGAATACGCCAGCGCATGAGCTTCAGGTGAGATCCACTGCCGTCTCTGCCAGCCTGTACATCAACCGGCATGAGATCAGGCGATTGACAGCAGTCCAGCAAAACAGTCCGCCGGACAAACCTTGTGGGATCCATCAGGGGAGCAAGATCTGCAACGCGGGGACTGAGTTTGCCCTGGATACCCTTCTCCCATCCAACGCACTTTGGCTCGTCTGTGTATGGCAACAGGCTGAATCAGTTGCCAGGCTCGTCAAGTCGCAAGGGTGGCCAACAAGGCAAACGCACCTGGGTATGACGCCAACGACACGTCGAGCACAAGACTGGCAGAAATGTCACGCTGGCGACGCAGGGACTCGCGGTAAACAGAGCACCTTCACGCGCGAAAGACGCCAGCGCGTCGCAACAAGCGCAAGCAGGTTACGCAGCGGCCATCCTGGATTCTCGGCGAGTCCAGACGGATCAACAAAGCCAACGGTAATCTGCACATCATGCATACTGAGCATTGGCGCATTCGCATACCCCCGAGACTGGCACTGGCAAGCAAACTTACGGAGCTGGCATCGGCGCTTCCAAAGAACTGGTGAAAGGCAGACAAATCCGCCATCTGGACCTTCTCTCCACTGACTTTCAGCAGAAAGAACCCAGGCGACGACGATGTGCCTCTGAAGCGGTCATACTCGACGCGCAGAGCATCCACTGTAGCTTGGCCGTACGCGTCGACAACCGACTTGGCAGGCGATCGCAGCAAGATGGGCTCAGATGGCAGGATGGCGGGAAAGGCGAACCAGTAGTAGAAGCGGTACTTTTTGAGATCAGCGAACGTGAGCAGAAGGAACCGGCCGAGGAGAGACGGTTCTTGCTCAGCCGCACCGCTTAGGATGTCCTGCCAGATCTGGCAAGAGTGGACCGGTCAGTGGGTCAAGCGTGGCCGAGCGCACATGCCGATCGGGCATACCTCGAGAGCAGTGGTTTTGAGGAGACTGGTCTTGTCGACCGCCTTGAAGTCTTCGATGGTGTTGGTGTTCTTGGAGCGTGCCTGGCAGAACGATGGTTTGCGGAGTAGGGAGCCTGGTTGGTGCCGTGCACCAGCGCGATGTCAGTTTGGTCCCAAGAGCGACAAGGGTGTGCAAGTGCAGCAGATCGACTGTGGAAGGACGCACCGCTTAAGCTTTGAGAACGAGGTCGCGTTGACGCACAGACGGGCCGGCAGCGACTCGCCGGTTGCCGAAGTAGGCGGCATAGAGGCAGACGCAGCAGAAGCGCCGGCTGTTGGTGAACCAGGCGAAGCAGCAGCAGCAGCAGACGACGACGACGACGACGATGGAGGCAGCGGAGATGAAGGTGTCGCCGCTGGTGTAGTAGCCCTGGACGGGCACGGTCGCGTCGTCGAGCTTGTAGACGTTGATCTTGTTTGTGGAGAGCGTCTGCCAGAAGGTGGCCTCGACGGCGCTCTGGAAGGCCTCGTACTGCAGCACCTTGCCAGCAGGCTCGGCGACTGGGCGGGTGCGGTGGGCTGCGATGCCATGGCGGATCTGGCCGGTGATCTGGCGGGAGAACCGGCGGTTTCTTTCCCGCGCAACGAAACGATGTCTGCAGCAGCAACGACGACCAAGATCAGCAAGAGCCGACTGCAGCCAGACGCTGCTGCTGCTGGTGGTGCAGCTGCGGGTGGTGGACAGCACGCCACGGACGCATGCGCAGACTGCCACATCAAGAAGCTCACGCAGTACGAGTGCCGGGTCGACGGCAGCCGCATTCTGTGCTCGCCCGTCGAGCGCTTCATTCGCATGTGAGTTGCCTGCTGCCTGCTGCCTGCCGTGCCTGTTGTGCCTGTTGTACCTGCCGTGCACGCACTGACGGGCACCGCCTGGCCCAACACAGGTGCCCGACGCATGCGTCCAGGGAAGTGCACATCTCCCGCCTCGGCCCGCTGGCCGCCCTCGAGGCCTTCAGCCGCTCGGATTGAGCGCAAAACCCGGCCTGCAGCGTGGCAACGACGGACGGAATGCGCTGCTCGGCCGTCGCACTCGATGCAGCGGCAACGGCTCCTGCGCCATCCACCGCGGCCACGACGGGCTTGGGCGGCATCGACACCAGATGGAAGTCGCCAGACACGCTCGGCTGCAGGCCATGCCATGGATCAGCGGCTGGAATGCGACAACGCCTCAGACTCTGCATGCACGCTGCAGGATGCTTACCGATCCTGCGACAAACTCCTTCAGCGATATCTGCTGCGTGCCTTGCAGCACCGTCTCGGCATCGACCGCCATCCACTGCGCTACTGTACATGCACGCATGCAGATCAGCATCTAGGCAATCTGCGGCACCGAAAACGCAATAAAGAGAGCAGCCATCTCACCGGGCTCGTCCTTAGAACCTTTCTTGGCACCTTTTCCCTGTGCACCGGCTGCTGCCGCTGCTGGCGGCGCTTTGCCGCCCTTGGCGTCTTGTGGCTTCTTGGCACCTGCTGCTGCTGCGCCTGCGCCTGCTGCTGCTCCTGCGGGAGGCTTGGCTCCAGTGCCAGCACCCGGCTTGCCGTTGGCGCCTTTGGCTGTCTGCCCAGACCCGCTGCGGCCAGACCCGGCCGTTTTGGCCGATGTGGCGCGTCCAGATCCAGTACGCGACGTTGCCTCGCCCTCGTCACCCTCGGGTCTGACAACGTACACCACGCGTCTCTTGTACAGACTCACCAGGTATCCAACTGCACCCCCATCATCGCGTCAGTCCTGAGCTGCGACGGCCATCCGGTCAGTGGCGCAGTGGCTGGCATACCTCCAAAACTGTCACGCAGCTTCGCAGACACGTCCAGCGCCACTTGTGTCGAAAACTTAAAGTCCATGGACGGCGAGCTCCACTGCACAGGCTGCGTCACGATCGGCGCAGATTCCGTGCGCATGCCACTAAGCACAAACTCGAGATGGTAATAGTACTCGTCAGGTGGCTGGTCGGGGTTCTCGGGCACGGCTGCCACGGGCTCCGCAACGCCAGTCATCTCGCTCGCCGTGATCCGGACTTTGACGCTCTCCATCAGAGCATCGCTGTATGTCCTGCTGGCGGCACTGTAAATCTCGCCCTCCGAGACCGACGTGCCGTCTAGATGGACAAGCCCTTGCAGCCGGCCCGTGACATAGCTGCGGTAGGGTGCCAGCAGATACAGTGGATTGCCTTGCAGACAGAGGATCTTGAGATGCGGCAGCGTCCCGAGGAACGCGACCGTTTCCACGAGATTGCAGAGGTTGTTCCAGGCTAGATCGAGCGACTTGATGGTCGGTGGCAGCCATCGGAGTGTTCCGACTGGCAGCCGCATGGATTTGGCGAGCGACGGTGATTTGGTCAAGCCAGTGCCTGCTGACGTGGTCTTTGCTGTCAGCGATTTGTCGAGAGCGAGTGTTGCGCGCGAGACGCTCGTGTCAGCCAAAGCTGTGGCCAATGTGTCTGCAAGTATGACAGACGTGATGGTGTTGTAGCTGAGGCCAACGTGGACGAGTGCGTCGAGATGTGCCAGCATGGGCGGCACCGTGATCCTGCCAAAGTGCCATCGTCAGTCCCAGCCGAGTGCTTGGCAACCCAAGCCTTGGCCGTACCGATTGGCATTCAGGTGCAGAATCTCCAGCGACAGTGGCAAATGGTCCACCTCGCTGATCAGATTCCCCGTCAGCGAAAGCTCAGTCAGCGCTTTGAATCCAAGCAGCATGGTGTCGATCTTGGTGATGCCTTTGCCATGCAGACGAAGCGACTTGAACACGGTTTGGAGATACTCGAGAGAGAACAGGTCCTTGTCGCGCGTGTCAGTGTCGGAGCCCTTGTCGCCATGGCCTTTCCCCGACTTGCGGCGCAGATGAGCAAGGAACCTGTCTTTGAGCTGCTGTGCCTCATCGCTCCAGGTCAAATCAGCTGCACCCATGTCAGTGTCGGTCACGCCGCGCACATGAACACTGCAAAGCCAGCCAGCTTGGTAACGAGCACTGCAGCAAGATCTACCATACCGTGTTGCCATGGATCGAGCTCGGCGTCAACATACACTTCCTCGCTTGCGTCGGCCGGCAGCTCGTCCACCAGCAGGGGCGGTAGACTCATGTTGGCACGCAGCAGGTCGAGGTTGGATTGTGTTCTCGAGGGCACGTCTCGACGTGGCATGCGCGATGGGCTGGCGACGCGTTGCGACGTTCTCACGAGAAACGGACGTGATGCTGCAGTGGATGTCGCAGATGTCGGTTGCTTGCGCTGCTGTCTGTTGCTCTGTTGTTGCGGCTGTACATGGGCTGCGTCTGCTGCTGGTGCGGCCGTTAACTTGTCGGCTGCTGGCCGTGCGGCTGGCTTTGGTTTGACAGCCTTGCCAACATTCCGGCTCTTTGTTGCTGCTATTGAATGCAGCTTATGGGCAGCCTTGACGTCGGCGGCATGCTTGTCCTTGGACAGCGTATGGCTCGGCTTTGGCTTGATGCCGGTGGTGGTGTTGAGGAGCTCGAAAAAGGCAGCAGAAACACTGCCGGCACCGTCCGCCATCAGTTTGTCAGTCTGTGGAAAAACAATAAGTCCACTCATGGGGCGGTCCAAAAAGCGGCAAAAAGTAGCACTGGTAGGTTTCGATCCTACGGCTTCTGGGTTATGAGCCCAGCGAACTTCCGCTGTTCCACAGTGCTTCCTCTTGAAATGTTACGGGGCTCAGCCGCCTAGCTCGGTGGATTGCCTCCAGGGGGATGCGCCTCTCGATGTCTCAGGATTGGACATGGACTCGGCCATCCGGCCGAGGGGCGCAACCCACAGTTGGGGCGCGCCTAGACGCCACAAGTTGTTTCGGGCTGTTGCCTCATGTCGAGTGTGTTAGGCCGCGTACTTAAAGCGTGCCTTGCCCTGCGTGCAGTCGGCTCTAAGCGTATCTGACCGACTGCACAGGTTCGGCCTTGAATGCTACCACATGTGTGTAATGAAGCGTATCTGACCGACTGCACAGACTTGGCCCGCTACAACTGGTAGCACTGGGAAAGTATGACAGTGTTCAGTAGCGAAGGAAACCCGCAGGACGCCGCACAGGGCAATCAGGCCGGTGCTGGCAGAGGAGCCGCCGCCGCTCAAGGAGGAGCCCTGGCGTGGACAACGAGATCGCATCCACCACGAGGGTCGATGCCGCGACTGTTTCAGTCAACAGTCCAGTGGAGACGCAACTTGCGTTTATTGTGAACGCGCTGCTGGGTGCCTCGCAAGCCCAGAACGCCAGCGCCCAGTCCGTCGCGGCCACCGCATCGATGGTCGCCGGAGCCACGCCCTCGGCGTTTCTGCAAGCGGTCGCCGCTGCCGCTTGGCGTGCCACGAGGCTGCCCGACGCCGCGCCAGCTAGTATCATCGCCGCGGCCGCCGAGTTTGGAGCCACCATGTATCAGCCGCCGGTCGCGCCGCTGCCGGTCGTCCCGCCACAAGCCGGTCCGTCGACAGCCGCCCCGGGCCGTCCAGCGGACGACGTGAGCCGCGAGGTCCGACGCAAGTTCACGCTCGGGACTTTCGCCGGTGTGGCAAACCAACTCGAGGCGGCCACAGACTTCCAACGACGCCTGGAGCAGTTCTTCAAGTTGTACGCGCATGCGAGCGAGGACGAGCTCGAGGCGCTTCTGCACCCGGCGCTCATTGGCGCCGCGGGCCAGTGGCTGGTGCGCCACGTCAGCCGCTTTGGTGGCGTCCGCCGCGCGGAGTTTCTCGCCGATTTCCGCGCCACGTTCCTGCCGGCTGCGGCGCTCAGCCGCATCAAGGACGCCCTCGTCAAAGTGTCACAGGGCGACGCCACTGGCACCACCTACGTTTCGCGCTTCGAGTCCCTTGCAAGCGGCCTCGACATCGCCGCCAACGACGAGTTCCTCACCGATACGATGGTGCGCGGCCTCTCGGAGTCCTACGCCATCGAGGTGCGTCGTGAGCTGCGCCGTGCCGCAATGTCGTTCCCAGAGCTCTGCGAGTTCGTCCGCGGTCTGGACGACATCTTCCGCGGCGGCCCGCTCCCTTCGGTGGCGTCTCGAGGCGCGACTGGCGCCACCCCGATGGAAGGCGTCGTGTTCCACCAAGCCAACCCTGTGGCGTCGTCATCGTCACCGTCATCGTCATCGTTTATGCCAGCCAGCCGACCACGTCACCGCCAGTCGGCTGAGGAGCGCAACACCTGTTTCACCTGCCATGGCGTGGGCCAGCACCGTCCACACTGCCGGTCGACGTTCCGTTTCCCAAACCGTCGCCCTGCGCAGTTGCACTCGGTGAACATGTCCGATCTGGTCGCAGCCCTGCGCGGGCTTGGCGTTGTGCCTGCTGCCCCGACCCCTGCCGCAGGCCCCAACACCGCCGGCCCGTCTGTCGAGGGCCCCGCCCAGCACTGACGGTGCCGGCGTGGTGATGAGCTGGTACGGAATGAAAGCAGTCTTCCTACACAGCCATCGCCACGTCCGGTACCTCCATCTAGCAGCCCTCCCGCCATGGAGCCTGCCCCGCCGGTGCTGCCTGCACCACCCGTGCCTGCTGCGGAGCCTGTGACGCCTGCTCCGCCCGCCCCGCCTGCTCCGCCAATGCCCATGCCCAAGCGCTCATTCGCCGATGTGGTGGCGGGCAGATCTGGCGCGTCGTTTTTCAAGCTGGATTTCGCGCCATCGGCTCGCCCGCTCCGTCGATTCTCGGTGGCCATCGGATCTGTATCTGCCACAGCATTGGGCGACTCGGGCGCTGGTGCCAACTTCGTCGGTCTGCGTCTGTACCAGCAGCTGGTCGCCAAGGGTCTGGTCGAGACACACCAGCTGCCACGCGGCGTACCGCTACGCCTTGGCGACGGCTCGGACGACATCACGCTGTCCAAGGCGTGCGTGTTTGAGCTGCAGACGCCCGACGGTCAGTCGCTGGGTCGGCTGGATGCATTCGTGGCACCCATCGACGAGCACCACGACTTGGTGCTGGGCCTGCCGTGGCTCGAGGCGGTCCGGGCCGAGTGGCGGTTCGGGCGTGACGGGCAACTGTGTGCCAACACGCCGCGTGGACCAGTCGCCATGGCTGACGCCAAGGCCAGCTCGCCGCCTGCGTCGCTCGCCGCCAGCGCCGTTGAACTGATGTCGTATGATCAGTTCAAGCGGGCCAACAAGCGCGGCGAGATCGAGTGGGCTGTCAGCCTGTTCGAGCTCGCCGCCACTCCGGAGGAGGATGGATCGTTCCCCGAGTGGGTCGAGACCTTGCGCAGGGAGTTCCCTGGCGTCCTCCCGCCCGCTGGTAGCAAGCTCAAAATTTCTAAAGAGCTTGCACAGCTGGGTGAGCATGGCATGCACCGGATTGAGCTGTTGGACAGCACGCCGGTCAAGCGGCAGGCGTACCGCATGAGCCCGCGAGAGCTCGATGAGGTGCGCAAGCAGCTGATCGCGCTGCTGGAGGCTGGCGTCATCCGCCCCAGCAGCAGCCCATGGTCGCTGCCGATCCTCTTTGTCAAAAAGAAGGACGGCACGCTGCGGATGTGCGTGGATTATCGCGCACTGAACCAGCAGACCAAAGCCGATGCGACGGGTTTGCCGCGCATTGATGACAACCTGGATCGGTTGTATGGCATGCGGCGCTTTGCGGTGCTGGACATGCAGTCTGGCTACCAGCAGGTGCCCATGGCTGAAGACTCAGTCCAATACACTGCATTCAACACGCGGTATGGACAGTTTGAGTACTTGGCTATGCCATTTGGGCTGAGAAATGCGCCGGCCACCTACCAGCGCATGATGAATCGTGTGCTGGAGGGTTTGGTCGATAGCATTTGTGTCGTCTATCTTGATGACATCCTTGTGTACGCGCCTGATGACCAACAGCTGCAGGAGCGCGTTCGACTGATCTTTGAGCGGCTGGCCAAGTACGGGCTGGTCGCCAACGCCAAGAAGTGTCGGTTCGGCCTCGACGAAGTCGAATACTGCGGCCACCTGGTCTCGGCCGCGGGCATTCGGCCGGATCCGCGCAAGCTGGAGGCGATTGCCAGCTGGCCAGTGCCTAAGGAGTTGGTACAGTTGCAGTCGTTCATGGGGCTTTGCAACTACTATCGCCGCTTTGTCCGCGACTACGGCCGCATCGCCATCCCGCTCAACCGCCTTACGCGCAAGGACGTGCCGTTTGCCATGGGCCCGGACGAGATGGCGGCGTTCCAGGCACTCAAGGACGCGCTCGTCTCGGCGCCCGTCTGCGCCGCGCCGGACTTTTCCAAGCCGATGCACATCTGGACGGACGCCAGCCAGGACGCCGTCGGCGGCGTGCTCTCGCAGGATCACGGCAAGGGCCACCAGCCGATCGCGTTCTTGTCGCACAAGCTGTCGCCGGCGGAACGCAACTACTCGGCGACCGATCGCGAGGCGATGGCTGTGATTCATGCGCTGCGCACTTGGCGTTGCTATGTGGATGGCGTCCGCACGATTGTGCACACGGATCACCAGCCGCTGACGTGGCTGAAGGGGTTGGATCGACCTGGGCCACGGCAGTGGGGCTGGCAGATGGAGTTTGAGCATTACGGGCCGTCACTGGAGTACACGCCTGGCAAGTGGCAGCCTGCAGACGCGCCGTCCCGCCCACCGATCTGCCTGAGCCAGCGGTCCCGATCATCGATGCTGATCCGTATGGCATTCGAGCAGACGCTGTTCAGCTGCATCCATTGGAAGCCGCACCGCCACAGCTGGATCCAGAGCGTGATTGGCCGATGCACGCGATCCAGTTCAAGCTCAACAACACGGTGCCGCCCGGTCTGTCGCCGCGCTACACTGCTCTGATCTCGCAGCAGAACCGCCTGTTTGTGCTGCGCGACGACACTCTGCAGCGACGAGTCACGGTCAACGGCAAGGAGTTTGTGGTGCCATTCATTGTGTCTACGGAGCGCGACGCCATCATGGACAAGTTCCACCGCACGCTCGGCCACATGGGAGCCGCCTCGCTGTATGGCGTGCTGCAGACGCGCTACTGGTGGCCCAACATGGAGGCTGAGCTGATCGAGTTTGTGCGCCGCTGCTCGGTCTGTCAGCTGCACGAGACGCCAGCGCCGCCGGTTCGCAACCCGCTGCACCCGCTCGAGCCCGCCGCGCTGCCCTTTGAGAGGTGGGGGGTGGATATTGTGCAGGATCTGCCTGCGACGGCCGACGGCAACACGCAGCTGTTCACCGCGATCGACTACGCCACACGCTGGGTGGTGGCCAAGGCGTATCCCAACCGCGACGCCACGACCGCCGCCAAGTTCATCTACGAGGAGATCCTGTGCCAGTTTGGTGCACCACGCGAGATTATCACGGATCGCGCGAACGTGTTCACCAACGACGGCCTGCGCGAGTATCTCAAGCTGCAAGCAACCAGCCACCTGCCGTCGACGCCGTACCACCGCGCACGAATGGAGCCGTCGAGCGCATGCACCGGTCGTTGAACGCCATTCTCACCAAGCTGTGCGCCGGATCGCCCGAGCGCTGGGACAAGTACGTGCCGCAGGCGCTGCTCGCGCTGCGCACGCGGCGCCACGAGGTCACGGGCTACTCGCCGTTCTACTTGCTGTTTGGAGTCGAGCCGCGCCTACTCGGAGATGACAGCCTGCCGCATGAGTACGATCCCAAGGACTGGCAGGACATGGCCGCCTGGACCGCCCGCGGTCTCGATGAGGTCGGTCTTGCACGCCAGG